CGCAGCAGACCCGAGGTATGTATGATCGGAGAAAGCGACAAGCGTCGAGCAGTCGGGATGCCGATCATGGATTGCCGGCGGCGCGAGGAGTTGTGGAAAGTGAGGGCGGGTGGTTGCAGGCCAATATGAATGCCGCGGATTGAAGATACGATCAAGACGATGGATGCGTAATGCGATTTTTGATGGGTGTATGTGCTTGTGAGGATACGATTCCTCGATCAAAGGGTACGGAAATGAGGGTGGTGTATATATATGAACAGTCAGAAAGTCGGAATGCGCACCGCCACTTTTCCTCCAGTTGAAGTTGAACCACCCAACAGCGGTGAAGGTAGTCTCCTCGAGATATCTGTGATATTTCCAATCGATGGAGCCCGAGTCACTCGAGTTTCGGGTACGACACTGCGGCCGGGCAGGCGTGCCGATTCACGGACGAAAGAGGCGGTTTCAAACCCCCCCCTTAGGTGTCGGAAGGTAACGAGGCTCGGTCACTGGGACGGAGCGGCAAGGAGAGGGAGGAAGAGTCAACTTCCGAGAAGAGAAGAAAAGAGTCCCACAAGGGTCCAAGATTAACAGGGTGAAAGGCACAAGGAAAAGAGATGGGCGAGAGCGTAGGGGGGGGTGAACGACTCTCGCGGGTTGTGGTCGATGCGTGGAGGGGTGCTTAGTCATGGAAATGGAGAAGCGGCTGGCGGTGGATGGGATGGAGACTCTATGGAGTACTTTCGTACTTTACATGAAACGAGTCTCAGGAGGCTGAGTGATGGAAGGGAAGGATTACATACAGTGACAGTTTCTAGCTGATCGTAGTATAGAGTCTAGTATGGAATAGAGTAGATCTAAGTTAGATAGGATCACAGCTTGGACCTAAAAGGCACTCACTAACACTCCTCCCTCTCTATATACTCGTACTGCCCTGCATTCTCCAGCATTCTTCAAACAAAGAACGATGCGGGGTGGGGAACCTGCTATAAATCCACCCTCCATTCCATCCCATTCCTAGCAGTTCTCACTCTGTACCTCTGTCTACAGTAGACTTGAATCTGCTTCTCCCTTGTCGCCATCGCATACTTGAGGCCGCTGCCACGTGACTGTACATAGTATCTAGCAGATTCCAGCGCCCGACCCTACATAGCACTGACTTGTGTGTATTTTATATTTCCTATTTCCTATTCCCTATTTCCTATTTGTCGCGTCACATTCGCTCGATCGATTCTATCCATTCCATCCCATCTATCTCATACTTTGGACCTCTCGATCCGATCTATCATCTCCATCCCCCCAATTGTGAGGTGGATCCCGCTGCCAACGTGACGTGATATGCAGTCCCAGGCCTAGAAGTTCCCCTCCCAAATCATATCTATCCAACCAACGTCGATACTGCGAGGGTTGATCCCTCCCGTGAATCCTCTGAGTGCGACCGGAGACTACAAAGAGAGAGAGAGAGAGATCGCGCGACACACTTGCGATTTCCCTGCGACCCCTGCGATCGATAACGTCCCCCGACCCTCTCCCAAAATCGCCGCGTCGACTCATCGCCATTCGCCTTGAGACATCAGGGTCAACATCAGCACCCATGGATGCAGATCTTGTCCCTGGATCCCCCACACGCCCAGCGCTGCAGCTGCAGGCGACAACTTTCCCCGGGTACTCTGCGCCCTCCCTTTCTCCCTCCTTCAAGTTGGATGAAGGTTATTCGGACGATACCCGGAGCCAGTCTGACAAAGAGCTTATGCCGGAAAATGTCATGATGCTACCAGAATGGGTATTGACCCAGAGCGAAACAGATCGAGCTGGTAAGATAATAGATTCCTGTTCTTGAGACTTTTGTGGTGACCCCGGAGACCGTCTCCGATTCGCGCGCACCCTCCTCTTGACTTCTCCGCCTGCTGACCCATACACCTCCCTCGACAATAGAACTCGCATACAGCCTCCTTCGATCATTATCAACCTCCACCCTCGCCGCCGTCGTCGATCGTCTCAATCCCCTGCTACACATGGACCCTGTTGTCAAGCTACCTCCGGAGCTTACCTTTGAGATCTTTTCATATCTTGACCCACGAACCCTTCTGACTGCCTCGCTTGCGTCTCGCTCATGGCGAGCTCGTATTCTGGACTCCGGCTTATGGAGGGTGCTCTACATCAACGAAGGCTGGCGGGTAGATATGCGCGCCATTCGCAATTTCGAACAGGAACATGCCGAGGCAATGTCACCGCTCACGCGTCGGGCCCGACCTCAACATTCAGAACCAGATCTGGGAGAGCCGAAGCTTAAGAAGCGTGTACCTCCAACTTGGCTGGCTTCTCGCAGCAATGAAGGAGATGGTCCGTCTGACGCCAAGGGACATGGGTTTATCGAACCAGATGACGAAGGCGATCACCACATGGCCGATGCAAACGACCGAAGAAGCTCTCTGACGGCAACCCCCAGCTCTTTGCCTCGGCTTCCATCTTTTCTCCAACCGCCACTCAGGTCCTCTCTTCTCACCCGATCCCCGAACGGAACCGTTAAGGTGAATTGGGTTCACCTCTATAAGCAACGACGTCGTCTTGAAGCAAACTGGCACCAGGGTCGTTTCACAAACTTTCAACTTCCGCACCCCTCCCACCCTGAAGAGGCGCACCGGGAATGTGTCTATGCAATTCAGTTCGAGGGGAAATGGCTAGTCAGTGGAAGCCGGGATAGGACGGTGCGAGTCTGGGACCTTGAGAGTAAACGATTATGGCACCGCCCATTGGTTGGTCATGTAAAATCAGTGCTGTGCCTTCAATTCGACCCGAGTCCGGAGCAGGATGTTATCATTTCTGGAAGCAGCGACAGGAGTGTGATACTGTGGAAATTCTCCACAGGAAAGAAGATTCATCAAATTACGAATGCCCATGCAGACTCAGTACTCAACCTCAAATTCGACCATCGCTACTTGGTGACCTGTTCTAAGGATCGCACAGTCAAGATATGGAGTCGCCGGGAGCTATCGGCAATGGATGAGGATTATCCTCGTATCTGCAAAGGCGGCGGAGCTACATATCCCTCATATATTGTCGATCTCAGTGATATGGCACCCAACATACTTGAGGCCAGCATCGCCCATGGTCACATCAAATCCTTGAAACCCTACACCCATTTGATGACAGTGGAAGGTCATGGAGCTGCAGTGAACGCTATGCAACTCCACGGTAATGAGATTGTCACTGCTTCGGGAGATCGCATGATCAAAGTTTGGAATATTCGCAACGGCGCTTGTCTAAAGACTCTGATGGGTCATGAAAAGGGAATTGCTTGTGTCCAATTTGACAGTCGTCGAATCATCAGTGGTAGTAACGATAACACTGTAAGAATATACGACCATGTTTCCGGTGCCGAGGTGGCTTGTCTACGCGGCCATAACAACCTTGTTCGCACTGTTCAGGCAGGCTTTGGTGACCCTCCTGGCGCCGATGAGGCACTGCGGCTCGAGGCCCAAGAAGTTGAAAATGAATTTTGGAAAGCGCAGCAGGCTGGCGTTCCCGTTGACCTTGGCCCAAGGGCTTTACGGCGTGCTGGTCACTATTCAAACACTGCCGGCTCTCGGGATCCTCGCAATATTTCAGCACTTGGTGCTAAAATTCCTCCCGGTGGTGGGGGTAGCTCTTGGGCTCGCATTGTGTCTGGATCATACGACGAATCCATCTTGATTTGGCACAAGGATCGGGATGGAGCATGGTCTATCGGCCATCGTCTCCGGCAAGCTGACGCTGCGGCTAACGCTGCTCGAGCCACTCTCAGCGAGGCTGCTCGAGCTACTGTTTCTGCACAGGCACAACAGTTACAAGCTGCGCAAACCCTGCTTGCCCTGCCAACTGGAAATGGAGCGGCTGCCGCGCCAGCGCAGAGTGCAGAGGCAACACCAGACCAAGATGCGAGCGATGGCACCCAATCTCCTAACAACACAAACCCGACCCCAACCCCAACCCCAACTCTACCGCAAGGACCGCTTGCGGTTCAGCCTGGAAATCCACCCCAAGCCGGACCAACGACTGCTCCTACTCCAACACCAGCAGTCCATGCCACACCACAACCCCACCAGCAATTAGCTGCCCCCAACCCGCCGCAAGGCATCAACCCCCATCAAGCTCGTCGACAAATGACGCAACCCCCATCATCCCGGGTATTCAAAGTGCAATTCGACTCCCGCAAGATTATCTGCGCCAGTGTAGATCCCCGAATCATTGGATGGGACTTTGCTTGTGGGGACGAGGAGATTTTGGAAGCATGCCCTTTTTTCCAAGGGCTTTCATAGCCGTGCTTTTATCATAATTCCCTCGCCCTTCATTCTGCCAATCTTTACTGCAAAATTGAGCGGTGAATTTCGGCTACCTTGCCAAGATGGCATAATGCCCAATTCTTTTCACGAAAAGGAGCATCCAGCACTAATGTTGCTGGATTTGCATACGTGATACTTAATTCCCTTAACTATTCAACCGCGTCATGATGTACCCTCTTCCATCCTATCGTCCTTGTTTCTTTTTTGGCCCAGTCATCGGTTATGTCTGTGCCTGACTTATATCTTTCTTTGCATCGCAGAGCCACCCCTCTTCTTATGTACCTTTTGGACACGAACCTATAGGCACTTCTTTTGTTCCTCTCTCCATTTCTGCCTGGGGCTTTGCATAGCGAATCGAGTGATCATGTTTCTATGCTACATTGAACCTGCTCTAAAGTCTCCCATTTAGCTGAATAATAATGAGCACCGTAGCAACATTCTACGAGGTTAATATCATTCAGTTATTGTAATGCGTCTCAATACTATAATGGAAAGTAGGCAACTTGGTGACACTGGAACAGGAACTAAGTTCGATGGTTGCCCGATTTTCCCCAGTCTCCTCGACCGTTTCAATGCCAGTGGGCATCCATGGATCTAATCGGCTCTTAAGTCTAGTTTGTATATCTGGATCCTTCTCCAAATTTGCAAAATCCTTTTTGCGGGCTCTCTTGAGGCGTGTGGATGTGTATGTATTGTTACTCACCACGCAATTTCCTTTCCATTATACTGATCATAGCCCGGCACGCAGATGTTCTTGAAGAGTCCATTGGAGTCTTGATCAGCACTGGAAATGATATAAGTGACTGCGTTTGCACCTTCCTCTGCGGAAAGATCGCCATCCTTGCCCCCCCATATCTGTTCGAAGCCACTTATGAATAGTTAGCATATATCCCCATGCTCAGTTCGAATTGGTAGTACTCACTCCCGGGTGCACACAAAAAAATATGAATCCATCCGCTTCGTAAGATAGAGCATATTGAACAGTCAATGAGTTTAGTGCGGCCTTGCTTATCTTATAAGCAGGACAGGGTGCATAAACGAAGGGCTAAATCGCACCAGCAGGCATTCGCCGGCAACCCTCGACTTGGCTGCTAAAACGGGGAACGAAAACAAATTTGATCGGTAACCTTTAGCTTGGTAATATGTAAGCTATTGCAGATCACTAGATTTTTCCAGTCGAGCGGTTGTTGAACGAACGGTCTGGATTGATTTTCCTACTTCCTCATTCATTCGGAAGCCGAGCGAAAAAGGGAAAGCGTCGGATTTTGGAAGGAATGACTCAGCGATTTCGGAAAGCTCGGGCGAGAGCACGCAGGAGCAAGGTAGTTTAGATGGTTTTCGAGATCAGAAGGACCCCTCAAGAGAGATTTTCGGAAAGCGAGGGCTTTGACAACACATTCCAATGAGTGACGACCCTCTGCGTGCCGTAAGTGTTGGTCTTGTTCTATACTATTCACTCCCGGAGCCCGACCTCCACATCGCGAACATCCACGCTAACTGTTATCAACCCTAGTGTGACCTTTGTCACTCCAGAAAGGTATGAATTTGACATTCGTCTGGAGTCTGAACATCTGTTTTAGTGCTTAGCCTTTTTTTTGGAATAGGTTCGCTGCGACCGGCAACTCAATTGTGCAAACTGTGTCGATATTGGTCTAGAGTGTCAGCGAACTCGTCCACGGCGCCCAACACGCCCTCCAGCTACAACGTACATTCCATTACTAAATCTGATCCGCCATAACTTGTAACTGATTTTATCTAGTATTTCCACTCTTGGCGAAAGACTTTTCAGATTGGAAAGCGCAATCTCTCATCCCCACGAGTACAGTCTTTCGTTCACATTCTTCTGATGTCGTTATCTAACATCTCCCAGGACGACTGAAAGCACAAGCCCAACTCATAGTGTCAACCAAGGGGAAGAAGATAGAGGACCCAAGAGACGGAGGTTAGACGTTGTCTCCCATCTACAAAATGCATCCAAGTCTCCCCACAGTAGCTGCACTGTTGTCACCCCGGATGAATCGACACATCATGCGGAGCAAGCCAAAGCTGTCTTCCAAGGAGAGCTTGAAGGAAATGAAAGTATGAACCTTGAAAGGCAGTCTATTCTGAGATCTGCTTTAGACTTTGTAAGTGCCATGACACAGGGGAAGGTTTCAAATCTCGAAGAAGGCGTTCAGTCGGAAATACGAGGCGACAGTGAAATTGTCACAGAATTCGCTGCACCGCCCCCCGAGATATTCTACATGCTTTTCAAAGGTAAGTAACCCCCGCAACTACTTTGAGAGCACGTACTGAAAGAATAACAGAGCCCACAACCGCAGCTGGAGCACTGAACATACAATGGCCGGACCATATCTCGCAGGAGTGTCTCGAGAGGATGATTGCCGTTTTGATCAATGGTGAATCACAGGGACAGATTTTCTACCAATACTGCGTCTGCATCTATGTCAAGGCTATCTTCCACCTTGCTCAGATGCCAAGAGTTTACAAAAACTCCACTATCAATCAGCAATTTCTCAAGTCAAAAAGATTGTATGAATCATATGCTCTTCATGCCTTGAAGAAGCTCAGCTTTTTGAGTAACCCTACCCTCCCTTTTATTCAATCACTGATATCTGCGGTATGTCTTCAACCTCTTTCAAGAAAAGGCCATTACTGATCAATAATTTCGTTTAGGCATTTTTGATGCAATACACTGGTAACATGAGCCAAGCCTGGATCATGAATTCCTATGCCGCCCGCCAAATCGTCGCACTGAAATACCATGAAGTTCGAAGCCCTGTTCCGAGGTCCGATCCAAATGAGGATATCCAAAGCTCTTTATACTGGTGTTATTATCTTGACCGCACTCTCAGCGCCCTCCTCCTTCGACCTTTATCATTACCCGAGCCACTTATTTCTCCTGTAGACCTCGTCGTTCCAGACAAATCACAGCCTCACCTACCATTGATTCGCATTCTTATGGAGCTGGCACAAGTACAGGGTGACCTCTTGAGCTGTGGAAAAGCAGATAGTACCCGTCAAATACTTGCGAACCACTCAAAGCTTCAAGAGAGGATGGATGTCATAAAGTCCAGTTTGCAGGCGGTAAGTATTGACTACGGATACATTGGAACTGGCTAGCTAATCCAAAATTCTGTTATCTTTAGACTCGGGAATCTGTCAATGACTTTCTATCTTGTGATTGGATCTCAGGCGAATTCTGCTATTATGCGATTCTGGTCGATATTCTTCGATCTCGATTGAAGTACTCATTTTCACCCCTCACGCACAAGGAATGCGTAGCATGTGCTCGCAAATCTCTCAAAGCACTGCGATACTTGCAAAAGAACCCCGGCAAGAGCCCAGGCTTTGCGGACCCTTACCCGACGTTTCTGACATGGTAAGCTGTCCTCACATTCCAAATATTCCGACAAGGGTAAAAATTAACAGGATTCAGGACAATTTTCCTATACCCACTGAGTCCATTTTTCGTTCTATTTTGCAATATTATCGGAGAACTCGACTTCGATGATTACACCTTAATCCAAGACATCACCCAAAGCCTGACTCCATTTGCCGCAAGCCCATATATTTCAAAGTTGCTAAAACTCCTCGAGTCACTTCAAAATTTCTGCATCCCCTTGATTGAAGCTAAGCAGCGTTTGGGACCAAAAACCAAAGTCGCCCCGTGGTATCCATCGATGACTGGGGCGCTGCCGGAGACTTCAACGACCATTGAACCCAATTTCTCGGTCGACGGTGGCTCTTCCTACGCAAATCCTGTGGCGCCTGCATTACCACAACAAATTCAATCCCGTGGCGATCAAGCGTATCCGCCGACCGATGAACTTATGTGGCACCTATGGAACAGCCAGTTGTCAATGGAGTGCTTTGAGTCTGATTTCATTGGTCTTGATCCATCAAACGGGAACGGTACCTTTTGAGATGCCATGCAATTCCGTTGGGAAATCTCCATTTTTTTATAATTAATGATAGAATAATTAGTGGTAAAATTAGACCAGGCGTTTTTCTTTCTTCACTTGCCTACTAGTAATGTTTTTGCATTCTGCTTTCACGGTTTCCAATTCGGAATATTTATCCAACATTTAAAGTTTTCATACAATCAAGTCTACTACTAGTAGTACCTAGGAATGATTCAATACGAGTGACACAGTCAACTTTAACTTCACCGTGAAATGGTCAAAAACAAGCCTTGGAATATACCTCGGATGTCCGTTCGGAACCCGAGCTCTCCGGTCCCGGCCCCTAGATTGCGCGAACGCTGAAAGGAATTACAGGTTCGGTGCCCGAGTCATGAGAGCTTTTTAATCTTTTTAACATGCAATTTGATTTTGCCACTCAATCATAGTTCGCAAATCCGTCTCCGGGCAGTGTGACAACCATGAGACCGACTCTTCGTTACTTCCTACAATCGGCCAAGGTAGCCACCGCCGGAGGCGCAATTGGACTCGGCTCATTCTTTATTTATACTCGGAACGCGGAATTCACTTCTATCGCCGAATCTGATCCTATCTTCAAGCTTGTCGAACAAAAGGGTTGGAATCCGCATCGTAATCCGACGACTCACGATTTTTACGTGCGACGCGTCTCACTGAGTGATATTCGCCCTGAGCTTCGGGATTCGCCTACTGAGTTGACAAAGACTTTTTGTGCTGGGGTTTGGAGTGATTGGGGTAATGTTTTCCACCCTGGTATTATTCGTGTCTGTTAGGTTATATGGATTGTTTAGCTAACACGTTTCAATTCTTGGATATGGTGTAGGATTCTCAATTCAACGAGCCCTGTTGAAACGGGCGCGAAATGACTTGAATCAAAATCACCTTTGGACTAGCGAGGACATGCTGTCTTCTGACTACAGTGAAGGTACACTTATAGCCGACTCTTTCGAGGTATTAGAAAAGAAAGATGGCCGGATAGTGGTTCGCGGTGGGGATTCTCCCTCAAACAAAGCGCTCCGACAGTTCGACGTGATTTTAGAATTGTCCACCGTTATTCAGGAGCATGAGCAAGCGGTTGATTTTGGATTCAAATCTATTTTCTTCACGGGAGATAAGCATTCTGGGCAGCCTCCAATGCCGGGATTTGCGGTTTGGTTGCATTTACAGTATGCCAAGTTGCTGCTCGAGACTGGGATCTTGAATACAATGGTGCGGTGAGAGCCGAACAGATGAAAGTGTACGATATGTAATATAGATCAAGAACTTGAATTGAAGCACCCCTCTCTGTATGTGAAAACGAATGTTCTTATTTGTCTGTCCGATGGGTGATCTTCGCTAGGCAGAGTACACTGAGAGAGTGTAGCGCGGACTGAAATCTAATCTAACAATAATGAGCTTCTGGTGGAGGAAGGACAAAGCAGAAGGATTGACAAATGGGGAAAGAATCTAGTGTTTAGCGGAAGGGCGTATGGGATATTTATGGGATACGCTGTTTCAAAACAGCGGCACCCCGACGAACAAAGTTAGCCGCCGGTGTCCACACGTGGCGTTCGGGGTGCTCTGGAATACCAGTACTCCCATGATGCTGTGGACCTTCAGTTCGAGCGGGAGATGACCGGCTTGGTGCTGTTGTATAGCTATCTCGGGAGGTAATGGGCCCAAGTGGTGTTCCCTGATCTGTTCCTTGATTGACAACATCGACAATTCGGCCGCGTAAACAACAGCATAGAGGCAATGGCATAGAAATTCGAGACAAAATATTGTAAGCTGGGCTTGGCTGAGGTACAGGTACAGGTTCGGTACCTGGTTCTTCTTCTTGAATGGTCTGGTTGACAACTGTGTGTCTCTGAAAAGAGTTAGATGGACTGTCCTGCCTGGGCGTTGTCGGCGCTGGTCTCTGATTCTAGCTGGGTTTCGCGGAGGTGCTATCATAGCAACTGGATCTTGGGTAGAATCTCCAGTAGGATCTCGAGAAGGTGATCGAACAGGTGATCGAAAAGATGATCGAGCAGGTGATGATCCAGGCTCCGGAGACGTTGAAGCGAACATTTCCGCGATAGAAGGTCGGAATAGTCTGGCGTATCTTTTCGGAAGAGACAAGGTACTCCTAAAGCTAGAAGTTTCGGCTGCTGTCCCAACACTTGTCCTTCTGGATTCAACAGGGCTAGGCTCAGCTGCAGTAGCTTGGGTAGCTGCCAGTGGTATATTATCCACGTGAAACGTATGATCATCTAAACCTTGTGCGAGATCCATTCCATGGCCACTTTGTCGAGGTCCGAATCCACCAAGTACCCTTGTGCCATCAGGCGCTCTTCCAATACCCCGAACTGATTGTATAGCTGTGGCAGCCGTGGCCGTGGCCGTGGCCGGCGGCGAAGGCGAAGGCGTAGGTATAGACTGACTTGGGGACTGGAGACCAAACAATCTCCAGATTGCCCCATTGGGAGAACGTCCGCGCCAACTACTAGTAGTAGGCGGGGATGGCCCCCTGGTGAATTGAGCAGACGCAGCCATGGCTTCCGGGGTGCCAAATGATGGGACCCCTGGGGAGTAGGTATCCTTGCCGGTGGTGGAAAGGGAGGTTGATGAACCCTTACAGCTGGTACGTTCCCAGGCCACTGAGGAGTTGCGGCGCTTCCGTCGAAAGTATCGAGTGAAATTGCCCTGCGGCGTGTGGGTGGAAGAGTGGTCATTTCCACCGACGGTTCACCTTCCGCGTGTGAATATGGTTTGTATAAGCCATCAGTAACGAACTCGTTGCACCACCGAAAGCCTTCTCTCCTTTGTCCTGGGATCTTGCCATTTCGCGTCTGAGGGACCAAGTCATCCTGAGATGAGCCCGATGGAAGAAACATGGCTACATGCGAAGCCAATTCCTCTTCAACAGGTTGGATATCAGGAACTTGGTGATCATCGTTTGGCGTAGGGTACGTGTCAGCAGTGACTATGAGTTCCTCGTCGCTGTAAAGGGCTCTCGCATCGTCGTCGGGTGATGTTGAAGTAGAGTTGTAAGCATCACTAACATGTGGTGCAGTGTCTGACCTGGAATAGAATCTGGCGGTGCTGGGGCCGGGGCCGGCTTCCGGGTCATCATAGCATGGCCCTCGGCTCTGTCTCTGTCGGAATGCCATGAAGGAGGGAATAATAAGAGCTGGTCAGTGGAAAGAGAATGGGATATTTGAAGGAAGAAGAGGTGAAGGAGGTGAAGAAGGTAATTGAGAGAGAAAAGGGAGGGCAAGTTCAAGTTTGGTCAACAAGATCGCGCCTGCCACCACATGCAATTATCATACAACTAAAACAAGGAAAGAGTCGAATCTATATATGTACAGTTACAGTAACATTTTCCGGGAAAATCGGGTTGAACAGGTCATCATCATAAGGGGGTGCCAATGGGACTTGGGCCAGGCTTGCCCGTCACCTGCGCATGCTCCTTTTTGAGGGCTCGCAACAGTCCTTCGATCCTGCGGCGCTCTTCTTGTTCCGCCTGTGACCAGAGTTAGCCTCGCTTTGAAAAGAGAGAGGGGGGGGGGAGAGGGTTGTGGTGGAAAAGGAAACTGACCTTCAGAATCTTCATGTTCTCATTGCGAGTATCACGCATCATCTTCTTAAACTCGTTCTTCAACACCATAGTGGATGTGGTCTCGAGTGTTGGATCGCGGCCCATCGACGTCGGGCTGCTGAGGTTCATCCAGCTGATACGTTCCTCGCTCAGCTGCTGTTCCAGTTGCTCACTGCGATCCCGCAGACTATCAATCACGCCCTCGAAACGTTCCCGTTCTTTCTCGAACTCAATGCTGGCCTTTGTCATGGCCTCGTAATCATCAATGGTTTCCCGAAGCTCCTTCTCAAGAGTGTCAGCTCGTTGCTGGAGATCGCCGCCGCCGCGTTGGCTCTTGAGAGCGGCAAGCTCTTCGGTAAGTTCAATGTTGCGGGTGTTGAGGGCATCGATCTCGTTTTGGAATTCGGGGTTGGCGGCCGCTTCTGCTGCACGCTGTGCCCGCGTACCATAAGCACCATCCAGCTCAGCCTTGACCATGGTAAGTTCGGTCGTGATTCTCACAACCTCGCCCTCCATATCAGTCATCTCATTTTGTAGGCGGGTGCTATTCTCTTCGGCTTGGATACGCTGGTCGACAGCCTCCTGCACACGAGCATCGAGTTCTTGTAGACGAGACTCGGCCTCCTGGGCGCGGGAAGCAGCTTCCTGGAGACGGAATTCGGCTTCCTGTGCACGAGACTCAGCTTCCCGCACACGAGAATCCTCCTCTAGTCCGCGAGAACTAACTATCTGAAGATGGGACTCAGCCTCTTGCAGGCGCGACTCGGCTTCCTGTAGACGAGACCCGGTTTCTTGCAAGCGGAATTCAGCTTCCTGTGCACGCGACTCGGCCTCCTGAATACGAGAATCGGACTCCAGCCCACGAGAGGTAACCGCTTCCATGCGGGAGTCAGAGTCACTACGAATTTGCTGAATATCAACCTCGAGCTGTGTGACCTGGCGCTCAGCACGATCACGAGCCTCTCTCATTTCCTCGATTTGAGCCTCGGACTGGGACGCCTCATGCTCGGCGCGGTCGCGGGTTTCCCTTACTTCCTCCGTGCGAGCATCAGCCTCGCGGTGCAGCGACTCCACAACACTCTGCAGACGTGCGATCTCGCCTTCGGCCTGGACCAAAGAAGCCTTCGCTTCGTCCTGGGAAGAACCGTCGTGGCGCATGGCCTCCAACTGTTGCATGACGACATCAAGCTCGTCCTGGGCGGACTTGCCATCTCTGCGTGCGTGGGACAATTGTTCAGTCAGATCGCCGATGTGGGCATCACGCTCGGCGTCGGACTTTGAGTTGAGCTCGCGTTGCTGTTGGATCTGCGTGGTCAGAATGCTCTTCTGCTCAAGCAGACCGTCCACCCGGCTTGCCAAACCATCGACACCGGTTTGGAGATATGACAGTTGTTCCTCTAACCCATCACCATCGTAGGCAGAGGGGGGCGGCGGGAGTGTCGGCGAGCGAGTTAATCCAAAGCGGTCAACAATGTTCTGGAGACGCTCGTTGACGTCGGTGATCTGTTGCTTCCAGGCCCCCCTCGATCTCCGGAGCTGGGGCTGCACCAGGAGCGGAGACACCCACCGCTGCAGCGGCCGGGCGCGAACCCAGGTTGTTCAAGCTATTCTCAAGGTATAACAAGTGCGCCTCGGCGGCAGATGCGGGATCGAGGGATCGGTTCGCGGACTTAGGAGGAGGATCAACAAACTCATCCGGAGTGGCTTCGATCATCATGTTGCAAATGCGCTCGCTGAGTTCCTCCAGTCTCCTCTGGGTGGCTTCTGCGGCGTCCGAGGATAGGCCAGACGATGGAGCATTGACCTCGATCCTTCCTTTCAAGCCATAGTTATCCAAATGCTCGGGTGTGCGGTAGAGACTGCGGTCGTCGAATTCGTGGCCACCGTAAAGTTCGTCAGAAGGTGCGTCAAGGTTCTTTGGGCCCTTTCTCATACCCTTATGGGTCATCTGCAGGACACCCGCGGTATGCTCTAGCAGGCGCTGACCGATCTGCTGAGACCGGCGCTCGAGCTTCCAGAGCTCCTGGGCCAGGTCCTCGCACTTGCGCTGGCTCATCGCCAGTTCCGAATCGCTCTTGTCCAGTACATCGGTCGTGCCATTCTTCCCAAAGATACTGCGGCTTCTGCGGTGTGATTTGGAGGATCCGTTGATGCCGTATTCACCGCTGTCCCGGGGGCTGGGGGGACTGTAGAGTCGACCGATCGACTGAGCGGCGTCGCGCAGCTTGGTCTCGAGGGCCAACTTGCGTTTTGTGCTTTCGATTCGACCGGAGAGTAGTGTGCGTTCCTTCTTCAAGTCCTCGACTTCTTCAAAGGACAAGATCTCGAAGTGGTTGCTGTCTCCTATCGCGGTCTCGGTCAACAGGTACATCGTGACGGGGTCGTTGGTATTGACGAGGACTGAGCTGCGCGGGTGAGCGGTATTGAGCTGTTTGACGGGAAGTTTTCTGTTAGCTTTGGAGAAGTTCCTGGGTTGGTGGGAATCCTGAGTATGGGGGGTTCCCCTTACCGGGTTGTACCGTGATCGGTCGTCATGTTGAGGGTGGACAGCATCACGGTAGCCGTCGACGAGGGATTTCCCGATGGGAGCATTGGCATCGGAGATGGTGGCGGTGGAGAGATAGCGAGGATCGCCATAAGAAGACTGGCTGGAGCGAAGGCTGATATTCATGATGGGGGGTCTCAGGCGCAAAGGAATGTAATATAGCCTGGGGGGGGAATATGTGGACACTCGGGGGGTTTCAGGGATTCAAGAGTGGGTTTCGCACATCCTGGAATTTGTGAATAGTAGCAAGTAACTGATCGGTAATGTAGGAGTCAAGTATTCAAGTCCACAGGAGATGGGCTCGAAATCGAGAAGTAGGGCCCCAGGTGAATAGAGAAAAGGTGAAGAGCAAAAAAGAAGATGGCGGGGAGGGAAAAGACCAGCCGCGCGATCTGCAGATGCCTCAGCCACACTTTTAACATGGCCATGACCATATATGTATGAGTATGGTTATATTATGGTTATAAGGTATATAGTATATATAATATATGTCAAAATACAAGACTACCCCATGTAAATCACCCGTGGATCAGGGGCCTCGTACCGGATGATCCAGTTCATGACTACTCTTAGCCTGGTTTCATATTAAAAAGACGAGCCAAAACACCACGGAGTTCATTTCTGTCCCGACTCCTGTTTAAGCGAAGCCCATGGCGTTGGCACATGCCTAGGGTAGTATGGAGAAGATAATACATGAAGTCTAGCTGGATCTGGGGGGTACCTGGAAGTACCTGACGTATACTACGTAGACCTGTGGGGTTGCCTGTACCGGCCATGTCATTCAAGACGCAAAGCCTTGGAGAACCGGAGGAAGCTAACTCGAGATGGATTCGAAGGTTCCTTTGTGTCCGGCTCTTTATCTACTGACTTATTTCCCCTCTTCCATTGCCTATTCCTCTTCCCCTTCATCCTGATGTCTTGTGATCTCCGCCATGGCCCCCAAGCCTCCAGACTCTGCCTTGTCTTCAACCCCACAACCCCAGTTTAGAGTCTACAAACGACGCTTTTGGGGTTTGGCACAGTTGGTTCTACTCAACATCGTCGTCAGTTGGGATGTATGATTTGCCTATGCCTATGCCTATGCCTATTGCCTACCTATGCCCGATGTGTAGCGATCTCTTGCTGATCACCGTATCCTTCATAGTGGTTAACCTTCTCTTCCATCTCCACCACCACCGCCGAATACTTCCAAGTCTCCGAGAGTGCCATCAACTGGCTAAGTACTGGCTATCTCTTCGCTTTCTGTGTCGCAAGCCCGTAAGTATATCCATCGATATATACTACTAGTACTAGTAGTATACTCCCCATATATCTATTGCATCAACCTCGCTCACTCTGTGTGACAGATTCGTCATCTGGGTCTTGAACAAAGGCGGCCCCAAACCAGCCATAATTACAACTGCCTCGCTCTTACTCATCGGAAACTGGCTGCGTTATGCAGGTACCAAGGCGAATGGGGGCATCTTTGGCCTGACCATGTTCGCCCAGATCCTGATTGGCCTGGCGCAACCCTTCTGCTTATGCGCGCCCACTCGCTACAGCGATCTATGGTTTTCGGATAAAGGTCGCACGAGCGCAACTGCTGTCGCCAGTCTAGCCAACCCGCTAGGCGCGGCAATTGGTCAATTGGTCGGTTCGGAATGGGCAACCAAGCCATCGGATATCCCAAATATGGTCCTGTACATCTCGATTATTGTGAGTTCAAGTTGCATGTTGAAATCACTAAGGAAAACTAGTACCTAGTACCTACTAGTACGAGTATGCAAGCCACCGGAACACTTTCGCTAACGATCCATTGAATCAAATCAGTCGAGTGTTGCTGCGATCCCATCCTTCTTCATCCCTGCTGCACCTCCGACTCCCCCCAGCGCCTCATCCGCCATCCCTCGGACCCCATTGCGACTCGCGACTCGCCAACTCCTCGGAACGCTAGAATTCTGGTTAATTCTAGTTCCATTCGCCGTCTACGTGGGTTTTTTCAATAGTGTTTCATCACTATTGAATCAAATGCTCAGCCCATACGGCGCATCGGAGACAGATGCAGGTATCGCAGGCGCCATCCTAATCGTAGTCGGTCTCGTCACCGCAGCCATTATGTCGCCGATCACAGACAAATACAAGCACTATCTGGGCTCAATTCGAGTACTAGTTCCCATCGTGGTAGCCTCCTATATCGGACTGATCTTCGCACCATCCAGTCCGGCCGGAATTGGGCCCTCGTACGTCGTTATGGCGTTGATGGGCGCTTCCTCGTTCGCACTACTTCCCATTGTGCTGGAGTATCTTGTTGAGATTACCTACCCATTCTCACCCGAGATTGGATCGACCATTTGCTGGACAGGTGGGCAGTTACTTGGTGCATGCTTTATCCTCATCCAAGATGCGCTCAAGGCGAGTAGAGATGCGGATCCGCCGTTGAATATGCGCAATGCGTTGATCTTTGCTGCTGTTATTTGTGCGGTTGCCGCTCCGTTCCCGCTTTCCCTTGGTCTCTTTGGTCGTGTTGTTACTCGTCGTCGTCTGGAGATTGATCGCGGGGTTGAGTTGTCGGCTGCAGATGCTGGGTTACAGGTTAACTCCAATGATGGTCCCGAGGAGGAGTTTGCTCCGGATAAGGCTTCGGCGGCTTATCGAGAATCCGGGTTGAAGAGCGTCTGAACTTGGATAGTAGTTCGACGTGTTTCAAGGCTATTGCCGTAATTTGTGGAATTGCACATATGCACATACCCTGGGCTGATACCTTCTGCTCTGCCGAGCTTATACCCTTTTCATGTTGATGACTTGTCTCTTTACTAGCCAGTGGTATTCAATGCGGTTCTCATCATTTAATTACATGACTCACGTAGAATATGGACACGGATGGCCAGGTGGCTCTGGAATGGATAGAGCAATGAAGAGTTGATTAGGTCGTCACCCAGGGCCAGTCACGACCCGGAGGTATTGAGCCGCCGCAGCTGGGGTGTTTATTAGCATGGATGAGCCGGGCTTGCCCCATTCATCGAAGCCTACTATTATTGATAGCCTGGATTACAATGGAACTTGAAGACCATAGATGATATGTCTCTTCAATCTAAACTTCCGTTTTAACAGATGAGATTCGTCTTAAAACCAAATAAATGAAACACGAGCACAGTTCGAATAGGCGGAAGACCAGCTATCTGTACATGCAAGGCAGGGAAAAGGGCGGGTCTATTATCGTTTTCCTTTTTCCTTCCTCCCTGCCTTGGAACACCATATGCGTACACCCCAAAACAGAGGGGGTTCAGTTCCCCTCTAATCACTTCGTGCTTTCTCTCACACACACAAAAATAAAGGACATAAACGGCAGACTGTCAAGTGACCAATACGACAGTCATCAGGAGAGCGGTAATAAACTTCGTTTTTCGACGTGGCGTTCCGGGGGAGGTTCGCTCATATCAGGCCCCGGTTGGGAGGGACCTTGCAGTCGAGTCGATGTGGAACAGTGGGAAATATAGCGTCGAAAAGGAGCCTTAAGATGATCCGCTTACTTGAGCTCCCTCCAGAGCTTGGGGGCGGCACAGGCGGTAGCGCAGTGGGTGAGGTGGAAGACTAGATTATTCGTGTCAGCATGGGACATTGTCATCGATCGGTGGATTTCCGGGTTCGCGAGGGAGTCCCGTGGTAATAAACATACACTCCTCAACGCAGTCCTCCTTGACACCCTTGAAGTCATCACCCTCCTCCTCCTGGCGGGTGACGCGCTCAACGCACTCGTCGTAGTGGTGCTTGTACGGGGCACACTTGGCAGAGTTGGCGCAGTCTAGATGTGATTTGGGTCAGTCATGTCTTCGATTGGGATGGTATCGGATGAATTGAAGGGGTTCCAATGCCATTGAGTCCTTGGGGGTAGATGGTGTGATTCCGATGATCCGAGCGAACGAATGCGAAACACCCGCTCGCCCAGCGCGTACAAACACCAAGACTCGCCAGTATGGAATAACAATCCTTCAATGATCATGGTATCATCCGAATGATAGAAGGGTCACTCACCCTCCTCGAGCTTAGGCTTGATGTCCTCAGGCTCATCCTCCTCCTCCTCCTCCTCTTCTTCCTCTTCCTCCTCCTCCTCGGCGGCGGCCTCCTCCTCTTCGGGGGCCTCCTCAGAAGACTCCTCAGAGGGGGTCTCCTCGGCGGACTCGGACTCTTCGGTGGCCTCCTCGGTCTTCTCGGCGGGCTCGTCCTGGGGGGTGGAGGAGGTCTCAACATCGGCGGCGGGAGCCTCAGCCTGGGCCTCGGAGAAGCCCAGGGAGGAGACGACGTCAGTGAAAAAGTCGGTGAAACCCATTGCGACTGTCAATTGGCAACAGTGACCGGAGGTCGTGGAGTAGTGGGGGGGATATGGGGTTGTAGGTAGGGGTTGCGGTTAAGTCGAGGATGTGGTTTTCCAAGCTCGGGCTGGAAAATCGGGACGCCCCGGCCGCTGCGAATTATGCCGCACGTGATTGGCCAACGACTGTTTGCTGACCAGAGTCGACCAGAGTCGACCCCAGTCGCCCATCGGGACCGGCTGCATGGGGGGGGGGGGGTTATTCTACAAGTATGTCTATGTCTAGATATTTAAAAGTGCCTCTACTTGGTTAGGATGCAAATTTTCTTGGTCAGGGTTCATCAATTCATAGCAAAGGGGAGAAAACCGGTGCACGCCAATGCTCGCTCTCTAGTACGGGCTACCGCTTTGGAATCATTATTCGACAAATCATAGTATACAGACGAAATATCGTCGAAATATCGGGGTTATGAGTTGAGTTTGATTTCCCAGGAAACTTTTCAACTTGCCCGGCGCAGCCGTTCCTCCAGCTCAGTAGCTACACTTTGGCTCTGGACCTCCTCGTAGCAAGGCGGAGGTTCAGCGGGCTCTGGGCCCGCTTGAGATGCCCTTCGAGTTTGTTCTGGCGCCACGGGCGCCTCGCCGACAACAGTGCTGTTGCTGGAATTTCCGGGACCCTCGTAGGCAGGCAGTTCTTCTAGATGTACCGCTGACAGGTCTACACTTCGTAGACCGCGGGCACCATCATTTTGAACCTCGACAGCTTGCTCTAGTCGCTCCTTTATTCGTTCGAAGTTGGTGTGGAAGTCAAATGCCCCTCCCTCCTTGAAAGTCACCT